TCCAAATATGGAATTTAGAGGTCAGATTTAAACATAAGTTATATATTCTAACTTCTATTGATATAAATATGTAATTTTTATTATTTTATAGAATCTGATAATTTATATGAATATCCTCAACATTTTGAATGGCACCATAATTTATCCGCGAATGTCAATTATGAAAGTCTAATATCAAATTTGGATTTAGCGACCATAAAAACCGTGAGAAACCCATTTTTATAAAAATCCAACCATTTTTACATTTTTATCCGCCATATTGGATTCACCATTCAGCATTTTAAAATTTTGTTTACGGATTTGGAAGCAATGACCCTAAAGATCTGGAGAAATCATTCTTCAACAAAATGTTAACCTTTTTAAAATTTTTTATCCACCATTTTGCGTTTTAAAGTTCTGGTACTAGATTTGGATTCAACGACCTCAAAAAAGTATAAACACTTTTTTTTATAAAAATGCTACCATTTTGTTATATCCTGCCCGCCATTTTGAATTTCGGAATTTTGTTAGATTTGGATTCAGCGGGCACAACTACCATAAGAAACTCATTTTTATAAAAATCCAACCAGTTTTATATTTTTATCCGTATATTGGATCAGCCATCTTGAATTTCAATATTCTATTACCAGATTTGGATTAAGCGGTTAAAAAAACCACGCCAAACCGTTTTTCATAATAATCCAATCATTTTGAAATTATATTATTCGCCATATTGGGTCCGCCATTTTGAATTTTGAAATTATATTATTTGACTTGGCTTTGGCGATCTCAAGAACATTAAGGAACCTTTTTTCAATTAAAATCTATTTTAAAGCTGGGATGGATATAGTTCCTTTCCGTTCCGCACGAGGCGGTGTCGCAATTGGAAGCCCAACAAATATATAACAATCCATCTATCATGTGTAACTCAATTGGACGCGGTTAACAGCGATCGTGGTCAGACTGGTTCCGATTTCCGCGGTCGTTTCCGTCGGAGTGGCGAGTTCAATAATGCGCACGCGGGGTAACGCGGGTTGCACCGGACAGAACGTACCGCACTCGTCGCGCGCGACGCCCCTGGTGGCCGATGGCTGGACTTCGTTTGGGGCCCGCCACAAGGATATGTCTGTTAGCGCCCTCAAACCGCTTATGGTGTAATCACAAAGCTGCGCGAATTCAGGAATTTGTCTGAATTTATGAAAAGCCGGTGTGTCATACTGTACCCATTCTTACTTTTACTGCAGGTAGTAAACGTTTAATCTCGTGCAAAATATAATACCATTATTATTGGGTTAAAATGGATCTTACTGATGATAATTTACTCACATTAAGTGAATACTTGAAGCATACTTTAAGTCCGGACATTAACGTCAGACGGCCAGGTAACTATGTAACCTCCAAAATACCTTCATTCAAATGCAAATACAAAATATTTCTCATCGTCCTGTTGTCGGACACTAATGTTTACATCTATAACGTCGCTACATATTTTAAACTAAAATTACAACAACATCTGTAATGCTTAGGTTTATCTAGAGCCTTTTTTTTAGATTTTTATCGCAGACTGTATTGTTTTCCTTATTATCTTTTTTGGTTTGTTAATTTTCTAAATTTAATACAATCCAATTAAAGTTATGAATTAAGAGGGTCTTGACCAAAATTTTTTTATTTTAGCTGAAAAATTTTTGGAATCAGTGGAAGTAAATCAGAATTATCCTTTGCTATTATTACATTTAGTTGATAAATCTGAGGTTGATTTGACCATCAGAATAGCAGGTGCTGTAGCATTTAAAAATTATATTAAGAGGAACTGGAAAGTTGTAAGTATTTTAAATAACAAGATAAAGAGAAAATAAGGCAATGTATTTATAAATTTTATTAGTCATTTTTGTTATATTATTAGGAACATGAGTCAAATGATCGGATACATGTACAAGATCGAAGTGCTATAAAGAAACTCATCGTGAATTTAATGCTGCATTCACCAGATTCTATACAAAAACAATTGTCTGATGCAGTTTCTATTATCGGCAAGCATGATTTTCCTGATAAATGGCCAGAATTAATTGATCAGATGGTGGAAAAGTTTAATACAGGGGATTTTCATATCATTAACGGTGTACTCCATACTGCGCATTCTTTGTTTAAAAGATACCGATATGAGTTTAAGAGTGAAAGTCTTTGGAGAGAAATTAAATTTGTACTTAACCAATTTGCAAAGCCTCTAACAGACCTTTTTGTGGTGAGCTAATTGATAACTGTCATATAATGCTAATAGACTTGCAACAGCATTCATTGTCTGTTTAAATTATTTTTGTTTTTTTAGGCAACCATGAACTTAACACAGGTTCATGCCAATAATGTGGAAGCCCTAAAAGTTATCTACAATTCTTTAGTTATTCTGTGCAAAGTCTTCTATTCTCTCAATTTTCAAGTAAATATAAGAAATTTAATTTTCATATCAAGTGTAAACATTGTAGAGGTTCATATTCAATTCTTTTTTCACATCTTTCTTCACAGGACTTGCCTGAATTTTTTGAAGACAATATATCAACATGGATGACACATTTTCATACGCTTCTTACAACAGATGTTCCCTTATTACGAACAGTGGTAATTATGTAATTAATTATATATTATTTATGATCAACATATTATTAGTTGTCTTAATGCTTACTAATTGTTGAATAGGATGATGAAGAAGCTGGTGTGATCGAACAGTTAAAATCTCAAGTCTGTGATAATGTTGGCTTGTATGCTCAAAAGTATGACGAGGAATTCAAACTGTATCTACCACAGTTTGTTACAGCTATTTGGAATCTACTAACATCAACAGGACAGCAACCTAAATTCGATTCAGTATGTTGATTCTCTGACATGTTTTTATTGTGTTACTGCCTTTATAATTATTTGCTTGCTGTATTATTATATGTATTCATTTTTATTTCAGTTAGTGTCAAATGCACTGCAATTTCTTTCTACAGTTGCAGACCGTACACAGTATAGACACTTATTTGAAGATCCAACCACCCTTGGAAGCATATGTGAAAAAGTTATTATTCCAAATATGGAATTTAGAGGTCAGATTTAAACATAAGTTATATATTCTAACTTCTATTGATATAAATATGTAATTTTTATTATTTTATAGAATCTGATAATGAACTATTTGAAGACAATCCTGAAGAATATATTAGGCGTGACATTGAGGGTAGCGATGTTGATACCAGAAGAAGAGCAGCTTGTGATCTCGTCAAAGTATTATCAAAATATTTTGAAGCAAAAATTATGGATATCTTTGGAACATACATCCAGGTTAGATGAAAAAATACCAAGAAAATGTAATTTATATATCTGTATATTCCTAAAAAATATTACTACTCTTTTATACAGATAATGTTGCAAAATTATGCTGAAAAACCATTTGAAAATTGGCGTAGTAAAGATGCAGCTTTATATCTTGTAACCAGTAGCGCCAGTAAAGGACAAACACAGAAACATGGAGTAACTCAAAGCAGTGATCTGGTCCCACTTCCTCAATTTGCAGCACAGCACATAGAACCTGAACTTGCTAAAGCAAACGGTACATATTCCAGTTCCACATTACTAATAGTAAATAATGAATAAAACTGAGAATAATATTTGTTTTTCAGTGAACGACTTTCCAGTACTTAAGGCAGATGCAATTAAATTCATTATGATATTTCGTTCTGTTTTGCCACGGGAGCAGGTTGTAGGCAGTTTACCACAATTGATTAGACATTTGACGGCAAGCAGCATGGTAGTTCACACTTATGCCGCTTGTGCAATTGAAAAAATTCTTGCTCTAAGAAGTCCAAATAATATACCTATGTAAGAATATCAATCCATTTAGATTTAAACTGTTTTTCCATATAACTTGCTAACCATTTTTACTCGGTTTTAATATTTAATGGGAACAGAATGAAAGGCGATGATTTAGAACCCTTAGCAACTGATATGTTAAAGGGTCTGTTTCAAACTTTGGATGCGCCAGGATCAGAGGAAAACGAATATGCGATGAAAGCTATAATGAGGAGTTTTGGTACCTTGCAGGAACGAGTAGTGCCTTTTCTTGCAGAATTGTTGCCAAAATTAACAGAGAAACTTACCATCGTTGCAAGAAATCCTAGCCGTCCAAATTTTAATCACTACCTCTTTGAAACCCTCAGTTTATCTATTAAGTGAGTATTTTATTAATGATTTCTATAAATAGCTTGATTAATTTAAAATATTATTAATTTATTTATTTAGGATTGTTTGCAAGACAAATCCAGGTGCTGTGTCATCTTTTGAACAAGTATTGTTTCCCATTTTTCAAGGTATTCTTCAACAAGATATTCAAGGTAAAAATTTAATAAAACTTATTTTTATTTGACTTGTAACACGATTTTTGCGAATAGTTTTTGTTTTATAGAAAACTAACTTTGTTTGCAGAATTTATTCCGTACGTCTTTCAAATTCTGGCTTTACTTCTTGAACTGCAAATCAGTCCCGATGTACCAGAACCCTACATGGCCTTATTCCCTTGCTTGCTCGCACCTATCTTATTTGAGCGACAAGCAAATATTCATCCTCTAAATCGATTGCTACAAGCATTTGTGAGTCATGGAGCACATCAAATTGTCGCGCAAGACAAAACCAACGGCCTTTTAGGAGTTTTTCAAAAGTTGATCGCATCAAAGTCAAACGATCATGAAGGCTTTTTATTAATACAAAGCATTATCGAACATTTTGCACCGTAAATATTCTTACACATTTTATATATGCAATATATAACAAGTAATTATGTTAAATGTGCGTGTGTGGATGTGGGCTTGTGTTCATATATAAAAATTTAGGTCTATTTTAAACCAACCTTTAAATAGGCTGCTTTGGTATTCATTCTATTTTTTCACAGAAATGTATTGGAGCCGTACATGAAGCAGGTCTTCGTATTACTTTTTCAAAGACTATCATCTTCGAAAACGACGAAATTTGTAAAGGGCATTATTGTATTTTTCGCATACTACATTATACGATTTGGTAGCAGTAGTTTAGTAACCATCATTGATCAAATTCAACCACAGTAAGCTATTATGTCATTTTATTTGTTTATCCTTTCATTGGAGGATGATAATTATTGATAGTGATATGTATTTTTATTAAATGTATTTCATATTTACAGGATGTTTGGAATGGTAATAGAACGTGTATTAATCACAGATTTACAGAAAATATCTGGAGAAATAGAACGCAAAGTAACAGCAGTAGGGATTTCGAATTTGTTGATTGAATGTCCCGCTATGCTTGAGAGTCCTTACAATAGTTATTACCCACGTCTTCTGGCCACTTTGATCGAATTTTTCGAATTGCCACAGGATGAAAGTGTGTTACCAGAAGATCAACTCTTTCCAGAAATTGACGATACTTCTGGTTATCAAGCAGCCTATAGTCAATTAATTTTTGCCAGAAATCCGAAAAAAGATCCATTGCCAGGTGAAAATCAGTATTTACTTAAATGATTAATAATAGTTGATATTTATTATTACAAACGATTTATCAACAGCCGTAGGCGATGTACGTTTACATTTGGCACAAGGTCTTGGAAGATTATCACCTGGACAATTACCTGGATTGCTTGGTCAAATCCCTGAACCAAATGCTAATCATCTCAGAAGTTACCTCCAAACTGCTGGGATAACAGTTGCATAATCCGAACTAGATGTTCGCGGTAGATTGAAGATCCATTTAATGGCACGAAAGTTCAATAATATCGAACTTAGTGAATTATAATTGGAAGCATTGTGAAGAAGTCCCAGTTTGCTTTTTAAAATGTGAGAAGTATATCGTACTAAGAAGATCTTTTTAAACTTAATTTCTAGAATTAATATATTTTTTTTGTAAGTATTTCATGAGTAATTTGTTCCAATTCAACACAGTTACAAAAAGTAGATTCATAATAACCATTACTAATCCAGTTGGTTAAATAATAAAATTACAGTAGTCGAAATAAATACCAACTGGAATATATAACGTATACGTTTATTTGAGATAATGAAGACATTTTTTTCGGAATCAAAAAATTAATTTTTTTATCCGTAAATATTAATTTTATTAATACTCCACACCAATTTTGAAATACGCTGTATAAGATTTTCCTTGTGCGATTTGGAATGGAAAAAATTCGAATGGAAGATTACTGAAAAAGAACTGTATCGCTCTGAATAATACTTGCATTAACAATTATTAATAAAAATATGCATCTGGTCGGGTGCCCATTTATAATATATCAAGTAGACGGCAAATATAAATGGTCTTCAATGAAAAACTTATATTTATGATACGTATCTTTTAAAACTAACAGTATACCTTTTACATAATACCTTTGAATGTACAGAATGAAAACAGTATGTCCAGTAACATTATCATGGGCTAATATTTCACATTTTCATACAAAGAATGTAATATAGCCGAATTAACATATGTTAATAAATAGCTATGATTTTTACAAACATGTGATTTGTCTATATTCTTTGATCTTTAGTCCCTTCAATAATCAATAGTATGTCCTTTATTTCGGGTTAAATGGATTGTTATTAGGAATCAATTATCAGGCACATTATTAGATTAATGAGTCAGGGTTTTTTGCATACTGCATATTGTTAAGGGATATTGGATTTTTAATGCCTTTAAAGCGATTGCAATTGCGATTAAATTAATTTCTTTAAAGTTTGAATTTGATCACCGCGGTACATACATCATCGCACGCGGTATAAAACTCAAAGTATATGAAGTAAAATGTTTATGTTGTTTTTAGATTGTACTTTCTCTGAATTATTGATAAACGGTAATTATTCTAAATGAGTGTAATGTTATGAAATTTCAACGTATTCTCCTTCAGAGTTAAACTACTTTCCGACCACGTATACCGGAAGTGCTTCATTCTAGTTGTATTCCACATCACTGGTGAAGAACCGTATTCGGAAAAGCTGTACAGTTCAAGCTAACGCCAAGAGAACGGTTCGACTCTCAAGTAGTAGGGTTCTATTTTCTTTTCATTATTTGTAAAATACGTATGTAACGTAAAACTACTGTTTATTTATATTTTTGCTTCTAGTTGTTGTTGATGATGCTGTGGGTAATCTTAATATGAAGAAAATTTCATTAATGAAGAAATAATGATTGATTCTACTAAAATGGAACTTTGCAATTAAATGAGGCAACTTTATAACTTGTACTAGCTCTCTCTATCTTTTTGAAGAGCATCCGTAAGGTTGGATGCTTCAATCGTGCAATCGTGTCGCATCCAGTCACGTCTTCCAGGTCGCGTGTCGATGTGTCGCATCTTGCGGGTGTATATGGCTCCTTTTTGGTTTTTTGAATAAAACACGATGATGAACCAGCAGGATGTGATTTCGAGGACGGAGGAAATTGCCGATCAGGTAAAATTATATGCATTATGGGAATTCGAGATTCTGCAATTCATTTTAGACCTGCCACGAAAGAAGTCTCACTGACAAAATTTCGATTAATTTCCGCAGAATTTTAGCTCATCACCGTAATGTCACTGACTAGATCACATATTTTTGCTTCTATTCCTTTACCAAAGCATAACTAATAATTGTTTTTATATTCTAGATCTATTGTAAATCGTAAACTATATAATAGACACACTGAAATCAATCATCGATTAAAAATTCTGAAGAATTAATAATTATTTCCTTTTTATACATTCTTAATTTCATTTAGATTACCTTTGATATTTAAGCTTTTTGAGTAGTTATTTAAAGTTCTTTTGAGGATATTTTCTGATACTAAATATCTTTCTATTTGTATGAGACATATTTGTAAAGTTTAAACATTTTTGAAAGATGCATTTCTTAATAATTTCAATGTTTAACCAAATTACTTTCCAAATTTGATGGTCTTGCTACTATGTGTAATTCTATGCATCTATCTATAATATTAATAATTCTTTCTTACTTATTTAGGTAATGCTAAGAAATTTGAACTTAATGATGAAGTCAACTAATATATAATTTATCTAGAAGTCTGTATCGATGAATGGCATATTTGAGGACGCTATTTTTTCAGGTCATCCGTCATGGAAAACATGTATTACCAACGCTTGCCCGACTATGTCTCATTGCTACATTTCTGGAAGATGGACTACGAATGTGGTTTCAATGGAGTGAACAAAGCGAATATATGGATATGTCATGGGGTTGTGGAAAATTTCTAGCAACCGTTTTTGTCCTTGTTAATTTGCTTGGACAAATTGGTGGATGCATAATGGTCATTGGAAGATTTAAAGTCAGCATAGCCTGTGGCATTTTGTTTTTTATTGTTGTTCTTCAGACATTTGCATACAGCATTTTATGGGATATGCAGTTTTTGTTCAGAAACTTAGCTCTCATTGGCGCTCTCCTGCTGGTTCTCGCAGAATCTAGAGTTGAAGGGCGATCCCTCTTTGCAGGCGTACCGACACTCGGTGATAATAAACCTAAAAATTTATTGCAACTAGCAGGGAGAGTTCTCCTGGCATTTATGTTTGTTACTTTGATACGTTTTGAAATATCTTTCATGCAGATCATGCAAGATATTCTTGGGAGCATTCTTATGGTCCTTGTAACAATAGGGTATAAGACGAAGCTTAGTGCTTTGCTCCTTGTTCTTCTTCTTACTGCACTGAACTTTTATCACAATGCTTGGTGGTCCATTGCGCATTACAAGCCCCTTAGGGATTTCCTCAAGTATGATTTCTTCCAGGTAAGCTTACAAGTAATCTTGTATGTTTTTACTTGATTTAGATAAACTGCAAAATTAAATACACTGTTTTTTACATTTCAGACTTTATCTGTGATCGGTGGTCTTCTGATGATAGTATCATTAGGTCCTGGTGGAGTTTCAATGGATGAACACAAGAAAAAGTGGTAGATGTACAATCACCGGTCATTTGACTTTCATTGAATCATTGTAAAGACATCACAAGTGACAGTATCCCATTTCCATTTTTATAAATTTAATGAGAACTTTTAAGAGCCACGATACTGATACATGGAGTCCTAGTTAATACACCTTGTATGAATGTACCAACCTAGACAAATTTCATGAACAAGTTGAAAGGAGGAAACACTACTATCGTTACTGTTAATGCATAATATTAAAGTATATAAAAATGCAAAATTTTGAAAAAGATTATGAAAATGTCTTGGAGAACGTCTTAAGTATTTAAAACAGAAACAAGCGATCGAAGAATGGTACATAATAATTTATGTTATCAATAATGGCATTGTACATATGGTAGTACATTTATTATGAAACAAAATATATTTTTTGGTGTTTTTTAATTTGTCTCGTCTTTCAGTTTTCTTTTCAATAGAGTAGACAAATCCTGTTTTTAAATACTATAAAATGCAACCTAATTAAAAACCACATGTCTGTATATAATTTTGTGAAAAATCCTGTTTTTAAATATTATAAAATGCAGCATAATTAAAAGCCGCATGTCTATATAATTTTGTGAATGCCAGAATACAGTTTTTATACGTTTGTATCAGATAATGATGAATGAGTAAAGATTTATCAAATTGCTGTAAATAAATGTTCATTAAAATTTCATTCTAGAGATTTTTGTCACTTACCCCAATTTCAACTTGTCTAGATCTATTAATAGCATCGTGATAGGACCTATTATTACTTCTAATACAGTTGGAAGTTGAAAATCATGCCTCAAAATAGCACGTGGTTAAATTTGTCTGGTTACATAGATGCATAAGCTGAAGGGTGGTCTATATTCAAGCACTAGACTACAAGCAGTTTCAATTAGTGTGAAGTATACTTCAGATTTTTTCAAAGCTCTTACAAATATGAAAACGCCAAATGGATATAAAAAGTGTATAGTATTTAAGGGAACAACACTTATGAAGGCACAACCTTTTATGCACATTTTGAGCTCAGTTCAGCGGTGTCAGCGATGTGATAATTGCCTAAAGAGGTAAATACTAGGTCCACGATTACCACTAAGCAACCCAATATCTAAATCTAAAATTCATATAACTGCAAAAGTATGCAATGAATATAAGGATGTACAAAAGATTAATATATTACAAATATAAATGATTGATTTAACAATGGTGTCATATGCAAACATATTTTTATATTTACCATAAATATAATTGTGTATTTTAAGATAATTAACAAAAGGTTGCATAAAGTGAATTGATTTACACATTTTTTAATCGGTAATCGCAGTATTATGATCTTCAATAACGGAACATATTTTTAATCAAAGTTACTATAATTACTACAATGTACAATTTAGTTTAAGACACTTTTATTGTGCAGTAAAGGAATAATTATATACATTTAAAAGTTCTCCTCAAGCTAAACATATGCATGTCAAGTAAATTGACACACTTTCAATATAAGAATACATTTCAAACACTAGGGATTTTACACTCAACTCAGTACATTAAATTGAAGAAAATAGCTATTTTAAAAATAATTTGTTAGTTACACCCAGGTTTTTTTCACTAATGGTCTTATTTCATTTTGTTATTCCAAATTCATTCATAAAAACTAATCGTACATACGTTCCGCTTTTGCTACGGCCGTAATAAGTTTGTATTCGGATTGGTACAATTTGATGTTACGCAATAAAACAGCTGCGTAATTTATTTTATTTTTTCTGTAGACAAGAAAAAAAAATTTATTAGTTCCACGATTTATTCCTTTATTCATTTATAAGTCATTTATAATTTAAACCAAAATGGAAATATTTGACGCGTTAACCACAAGAAGGGGTGTATGAATGTGTAGATATGGTATATACGTATATACCGGTACCTAACCTCGCAGAGTTAGTAACAACAGCATTTCAAATCACTACAAGAAAATGATTGAAAATCTCAGTATTAGTATTGTCAACAATTTAAAGACTTTTATATAATGAACCACTTTCAAACGAATAAGAAAAATGACAGAAGCTATAAAAAAAGGGTCAATAATAATCTCAGCAAAACCGTTTGCTTACACATTGAGTTCCAAGCAAAGAGCTAAACATTGTGATAATTGTTTGAAAAGGTATCTTGATAAAAATTATTAAATAAATCAATATTGAACATGTCTAAGGATGGTATTTATTTTATTCTACTCTCTTTTACTGTTTCTTGGGAATTTATTGCAGTAACAAACTATTCAAATGTTCTGGCTGTCAGTTTGTATATTATTGTGGACGTGATTGTCAACGAGAATCGTGGAGTATACACAAATCAGAATGTGCAAATCTGAAGAAGATATCTCCAAAGATTATTCCTGATGCAGCTAGGCTTTTAGCACGGATCATTATTAAATTAAACAAAGGCGAAGGTGATGAACGTGGATATTTTTCAGAAAGAGACTACCGAAAGTTTAAGGATTTAATGTCTCGTGAGTGTATTATGTACCAGTAGACCGATAAACAATTTTTGTAGTACTATCGTTCTCTTAATCTTTGCATTTTAAATAGACTACACAGATCTAAAACAAGATACAAAGCGCATGGAACATTTTGTTTCATTATGTGGAGTTTTATCTGAATTTTTTGGAGAAACATCTCTACCAAATATAGCAGAATTAATGGGAATCTACGGTAGAATGTGCATTAATTCTTTTAACATATTAGACCCCGAAATGAACAGCATAGGTGTTGGAATATATCTAGCACCTTCAATATTAGATCATAGCTGTGCGCCTAATGCAGTAGCTGTTTTTGAAGGTACCACAATTTTTATAAGGGCATTGGAAGATATTCCACAATTAGATTGGTCACAGGTAAAGTAATATAAAATCAGCAATTTAGGGTAGGTGTAATATGAAACATTCTTTATTTTGGTTATAAATTAGGTATTTTTTGTTATAATTGTTATGTATAAAATAATTTCAATAGCTATAAGATGATAGAATATAAATTCTATTTATTATAAATTAAATTTAATATTCTATTTATTATTAATTATAAAATTCATTCGGTTCCGCATACTAAAATTTACATATTGTCTTCCAGAATTTTTCTTGTAGTTACATGTGACAGATATTAAGTTTAATACTTGTGAAGAAACTTAAATTGTAAAGAATAAGTCTTTTGTAACTGAAAGAATTTACATTTGTTATTCAGGTAAAAATATCATATATTGATGTTGCTAATTCCACAAAAGATAGACGTGCTGAATTACAAAGTTCATACTATTTTTGGTGTAATTGTCCAAAATGTATGGGTCCAGAACCATTGATTTATGCTGCTGTATGTCCGAATCCACTTTGTATAAATCCTTGTTCGATAGATTCATCTGTTTGTTCAAAGTGTGGTGAACAAATTTCTGATGATTTTCGAACAAAATTTCAAGAAGTTACTGACTTTACTGCTCACCATGTGCTAACTTTGAAGACAATGGCCTGTATCCTTAACACATACAAAATCATCTATTTTACTTTTTTTTTCAAATAGCGAACACAAATTTTAAATTTTAATTATTCCATATCTCCTTATGGAGCCTTGTTAATTTCATAATTTCCTAAGTGAATGAAATTAGATCTAGACATCAGTAAATTGTGTCTAAATAAACAGGAAGGTATATTTCATCCGACTAACATACAATATGTTCGTACTATGGAGGCAGCTTTGGAAGCTGCTGTTACTTTGAACAATTGGGAAATTGCTGAAGCTTATGCAACGAAATTAATTCCTGGATATTTGTAAGTGTACTATATTTTATTTTTCAATATAAACATAACATATTAAAATTTGACACAACATATACCATGTGATGATTTCAGATTGTATTATAGGGAAGTGGATCCCTTAACGGGTCTTCTTTACCTCCTATTGGGGAAAATTCAATTGCACCTTGAAAAACCAAAGAAAGCACTAATTTCATTGAGAAAGGCAGAATCGATCCTGAGCATAACACATGGCAAGAGACATATGCTGATGACAGAGAAGTTCTTGCCACTCTTTCAGCAAGCTGTTATGGAAAGTGGCAGACAAGACAAATAATTTCCATCATAATGTAGTATTAATACATACTTTGTAATAAGCAATAAATTTATTTTGTATATTTTAAATAGTAGTTTAATTTTTAAATGAGAAATAGTTAACATTCATATTATTTACATATTACAAATAATAATAAGGTAGAAATAAAATTCCTTATGCACATCTCTAAATTTATAATTATTAATGAATACAAAAATAAGAACACCTTTTCCTTATTTTTATGATTGCTAACAAGACAATAGTGGTGACACTATTTTAGAATTCAGCATTGTTAATAATAGCAAGAGTAATTGTCAATAAATACTAAATACTTTATAAAATCACAAGTCATGAATTTTATTTGAAAGCGTTTATATAATGATCATTTTCTTGAACTTGTGTGAAGTGTACAAAAATATTATTATGGGATGAACAAATTTTTAAATGTTTTACGTTATTTGAATTTTTATTTTTTGTTGCGCCGCGGCCGGTTAACTAGGTTTATCACGCTATATAGTGCTCTTGCAGCCGCTCCTGAGGAAAACCACTCTTGCCAACATCACTGATAAAATGCCATAAGATGGAACAGCTGTTTCATGACAGCTCAATAATTTTCGTGAAATTTAATTGACGTCCTGAAAAAAACTAAAATGATGTTAACATCGATTATATCACCTTTCAAGTAAGTGCAGTAATGTAATGTGTGTAAATATCAGTAAATTCTGATACTGGATCTTCAATTATGTATTTGTATATGGCATTCACATTTTGACACTACACAATCTGAATGCATCAAATAATTTATTTTTAATTAAAAATTACATTTTCATCAATTATTAACTCCTCTTAGTCTAAATTAGAAAAATATTAAGTGATGCCGAATAATGTGTATTATCTAACCAAATTGTAACGTTTGTTACATTAAATACTTCTAATAGGTACCATCACATTTATCCACATGTTAAAACTATTATATGTGAAAATAAAATGTATTGTATTTTCTTTGTATTTTTAGGAAACTTTAAAAAGTTAGTTCTTTATAACATCAGAAATAATTTAAAAAACTTGTGACCATGTTTTCTGCATTTAAACGGTTGGCTGGGAAATCGGATGGATCAGTTGGAGCTTGTTCACGGCCAGCCCACCAGTCTATGCCTACGACGTTACAAAAAAAGTTTGCAAAAGGGGTACAATATAACAGTAAGGATAACGAATGCACATATGAAGTAAAAAATAAACTTTTTTTTCTTTGCGTAGTCTTTGCTTACTCTTATTATTATTTTCAGTGAAAATCATCATAAAAGGTGATCGGAATGTAGGAAAAACCTGTTTGTTTCATCGGTTGCAAGGTCAGAAATTTGTTGAAGAATATATTCCAACAGAGGAAATCCAAGTGGCTAGTATACAGTGGAATTACAAAGCTACCGATGATGTTGTAAAAGTTGAAGTTTGGGATGTAGTAGATCGTGGAAGGCGTCGTAGGAAAATGGAAGGTTTGAAAATGGAAAACTGTCCTTCTGAGAATATGGAAGAACCAGTTTTAGATGCAGAGTTTTTGGATGTTTATAAAGGAACTAATGGTGTTATAGTAATGATGGATATTACTAAAACATGGACATTTGATTACGTGCAACGTGAACTTCCAAAAATACCAAGTCATATACCCGTTATTGTCTTAGGCAACCACTGTGATATGTCGCACCACCGAACTGTTACTGCTGATCTCGTTACATATTTCATTGATTCTCTGCCAGAAAGAGCAGCACAAGTAAGTCCGATGTACATTATTATTGTATTTTTGTATATTTATAATTAAATGTATATTTATAATTAAAAATATTTATGTAGTGAATCCATCACAGGTTAGATATGCAGAATCATCAATGAGGAATGGATTTGGACTAAAGTTGTTGCACAAATTCTTTAATCTTCCATTTCTTCAATTACAACGAGAAACATTGGCAAAACAATTAGAGACAAACAAGGAAGAGATACGACTAACTATTCAAGAGCTTGATCTTTTTCAGGATAGCGATGATGCTGATTACAATAAATTTTTAGATAATCTCGTAAACAAAAGAAGGGCTTTTGCAGATTCAGTTTCCTCTAGTGTTTTGATTCCAAATGTTACTTCGTCATTAAGTAGTAATCGTATTTCACCTTCTACCAGTGCTGCTAATCTTAATGTAGAGGTTAGGAGATCTGTATCGATACCTGGACCAATTGGTGGAGGTACTCCAATTCCTGTAAAAAATCTAGATCTAAAAGCTCCTACAAAAAAAGAGAGTATGTTACTGAAATCTGTGCAGAACACTGGCATGTCCGTAAACGTGCAAAATGCTTCCATGATATCAAATGTGCAGAATCTTCCAAAATTAGATGTCAAGTCAGGAAATTCAATATTGCAACAAAATGTAGATAAAAAAGAGCCACCAGACATTAGATCACAATCTGTTATGTCAAAATTCTTTACTAATAACCAAGAAGAGGAAACGGAGCGGTTGCCCAATTCAAGTGGAATAACTTTAAATTCACCATTAACTAGTATTGAAGATTTCGTCCCTGATGATGGCATGTTAGACAGATCTTTTCTAGATGACAACAATCAAGTGACTCCACTGAAAACACAACACGAGCAAATTGAATCAGAGAGGTATTGTAATCAAGTTTTCAATTCTCATATAGAAAATTCTTGTTCTTTTTTAAAACAATATTTCTTATTGTTTCTACCAACAGCGATACAGAGACAGCAAATCCTCTAGTTGCTGGTTACGAGGATGATTTATCATCTGTTGAAGAAGCACCAACTCCCGTTCAAATGAAGCTTGTGGAAAATCCTTTGAGCAAACAAAAATATAAGCATGATCCCTTACCAACCATCAGTATGAGTTCTCAAGACCTATGTCAATCTGCAAAACGTGATTCAATAACATCTATTGAACAAGAAATTCATAATGCCACTAAATATGAACTCAATGATTCACATGATTTGAATTCCGATGCTTTCGATAATTGGCTCAGTAGAGATTCAAAGTGGCGTCAAAGCCCTGAAGGTGGAGAGGATGTAAGCAATACGAATACCAGAAGAGACAGAATAGAATTGAGTGATAAAAGTCTAGATGTCAGTATGACAGGTTCTAACGTTCATTTGGAATTGTTAGATAGTACCAGCATTCAGCACTTGAGTTCCAATAGCAGCAGTCCCGTAATGAAGGAAAAAAAGAAGCACAAAGACAAGGTGAAACGAATAGTTTTAACTAATCTTGAAAAACTATATTTTATCTCTTTTCTTATATAACTGTTAAATAAATAAATAAAACAAATTTTCAGAGTGAAGACAAGGAGAAGAAAAAGAAAAAGAAAAATAAAGATAAAGATAAGGAGAAATCGGAAAAATTAGACAAAAAAAAGAAACGATCATTTCATCGCTCTCGAGATGAAAATCAAGAACACGACGAATTGGAGGAATTTTTAAATGGGTCTACAACACGGGTTGGGGTTAGTGCTGCTTATGAAGCTATATAGCCATATTGAAGTGTTCAATGTGGTAACGACGTATGACAGCTGAGCTTTCAATCTATTTCTATTTCTGATATTTAATTCTTAATTATACAGCTTCGTAAGACTGTCACAGTATAAAGTACTAAAAAAAACTTTGCTTTCTAAGGTATGATAATTTTCAGAATACATGGAGAGAATCTTAAAAAAAAAAATGTAATTTATATAAATTATGTTAATGACAAGTGGCAAAAAAGTTTTTACACGTAACGTTTTTGAAACTCTTACAACAAGGGCAGTTAAAATAATATTATATTTGAATGATAGATTATCTTGTTATTATTTATCTTCATGAAATGTGCATAAATAATTGGCATAAATGTATTATATTTATACACCTTAGATCTTGTATGTGTCTATCAAGGTAATTGCTATAGGCATTGAGTCATAAGATGCAAATTTTGAATGAACGAAGACATTTCATGTACAATCTTGAAACACATGTCTCAAATAGCAAATTTTATGGAGAACAAATTAATTTATCTTTATTGAGAGTAACTGTAATTTTCTTATTTTACAGTATAGTTTTGCACTTTGTTACAGTTATTTTTAATTCTTATTCTTGTAGTATGATAAAATATGTGTATAGTATAATCACAAGACTATCATTGCAGCTTCTTGTTAATAAATGTCTAAATGTAATTATATACTTACAAAAACAGTAAAGAAAAATAATTTCAATTGTTTGTAATGCGTGCATTATAGCATTTGTTTATTTGGCTGAAACTTATAAAAATAAACAAATATTTATAACAAATGAACAAATTAAATTAATCTATACCATATATTCCGTGCCTCACTTTCGACTATGGCGTAAAACATCTCCCCATTCATCTCTGATACTACTAATTGTGCAATGTATTGAATCGCATTCCCTTTCCTTATTAAATACAGGAAAAATTTGTATTTAAATATTTGAATATTTAAAGTTTTTGATTTGTACCATTATTTTAATCCGACTCTACTAGCAGAGCATCTCTGCTACTAGGTAAACAGAACTGAAGTTGGCAACACTGTGCCGTATCCAGTTTACTTCATTTCAGTGGCCATGCACCTTACGTGAACACAAGGTGTGCGTACTCGTCCGGCGTAGGTTATTATCTCTACATTTGACAAAAGTTGACTTATCTGACGTACATTTGAAAGCATTTCAGATATGTCTCTCCGTTTCAGTTCGATTTCGATCAAATTTACACCATTCGTTACTACACATAAACAAGTTTCCAAATTTAACCGACATCTGCCAAAACACATCAAACCGTCTGCATTTTTGGAAGAGGTAAGCCGCAAAATCTGTTCGAAGAAAGTATGCCGTTAAATTATTGTATTATTTAATTCTTAGAGTATTAATGTAGATACGTATCATATCACGAAGTTACATTATTCGGATATTCATGGTTACTAACGACTTTTTATGAGAGTGAGTTAACCTCAAAAATGCTTACATAATATCAAATTTACCTGGTGATCACTGTTATTCAAATAAACACTCAAGAACAAACAATTATTATTTTATTTACAATTTGTCATATAACTGTTTACATATAAATAAAAATCCTGTGTTTCATTTATTGTCCTGTATACAAATTTTAAAATTATTTTATTGAAATATAAAACTAAAGAGAGAAATAAGCTGCTGATGTATCACACACTCATTGAAAGTGCATTTTATTGAAAAAAATATTTATTTCTTATGTATGTGTATTAAATATCTAATTCTAATGTGTATTATATTATAGTTTCTCAGCTCGAAGGCTGTTACAAACAAGTTCTCAAATACTAATGAGAAATTGAGCGGGTCTACAAGAACATATATTTTACCTCATAATCTTACCTATACTTCTTTAAATGGCTATGAATGGTCTAGGGAAGATAAGACCTTACAACTAGATCAACAAAATATCAACCTGGAAAAACATGGAGACATATTAGTTAAATCTAAGATAATATTACCTAAGGATGTAAAAGAATGTTCGAATCCACAATCAATATTTGCACCAAAGCATTTTGATGCTATAGATAATGCTGAACTATCTACTGGAGTGATTCAACAATCAGATCTTTTTAAACATTATAAAGCTGAAGCTATGGAAGAAGCATATAACAGGTTATCCAGTGGAATGAAAGTTCAATATACATCTGAATTTGTCAATCATTTTGAGAAAAATATGACTTTACTGTCTGAAACTAAAGAAGATATTCAATCTTCAAACGAAAATAAATCTAGTATAAAATATAATAAGCCAACTCAAGAACAACTAGAACATGTATACAATACATTAAGAGTTGGAGTAAGTTTTAAATATTTTGAAAAATTAATGTTCCTTTACCATAATCATTGATAATTTAGAAAAACTTTATATTTTCAGTTACCACAGTTATTTACCACTCCAATGGACTATAGTATTTATAGTAAAGAACTTGTATTTGTTAATAATATTAAAGGTGTTACAACGCAGTAAGTATAAACAAAAGTTTCAACTTTTTTACATGTGTAAAAGATTATTACTGTAGCTTATCCATTCTTTAATTCTAGGGGCGTTGGACATTATGCTAAGCAAATATCTTTATTAAGAATGTTTGGTCATTTAAAATTTGCTTACGTAAAATTTGAATTACTAAAAATAACAATACATCCAGAAGATGACACAATAAAGGCTCGCTGGCGTATAAGAGGAATTACTGGCTTAAAAATATTTTTCCTATTTTGGAGGTTTAAGTTGTGGAAAATATCAGATGCTATTGAAAATCAAGAAGCGTAAGTGAATTAATGCCTTTTAAGATATTAACAGTTCTTTTTAACGCTACAATTTAACTAAATTCTTGTTCCAGATGGTACGATGGTTTTTCTACTTTTTATCTTGATGGGAATGGTAAAGTGGTAAAACATGTAGCTGATAAAATGATACCGGATCAAGAAACACGGATTCATAAGGACAAAACTGAAATTGCTGCAAAATTAGCTTTATGTTTGGGGCTAGGAAACTCAGAATCATCTTCTGGCATTTTCTCACTATCAACATATTTTAATCCAAATGCACAATTACAACAGGAGTGCTTTGGAACAACTACGTTATCCCAGCAAAAATGAAATAATTTATCTCACAATAAACCTATATGCAAAAACTGATAGATTGCATGCACATCAAACCTATAATCTATTATTGTCGAATTATCTAAAAAGATCAAATCGAAATTTTACTTTTTCAAGAATTGAAATATGAATTCAACTGCTTTATTACTCAATTTGTTTCAAATTACTTTTTCCTTCTTGATTTTTTTTTTAAGTTACCAACCTTAATAAATGCTTCTATTTAAGAATGTATCTTATTTGAAAAGTAAAAATAATTCTTGTAGTTACCCTAAAGATTATCTTTTTTTTTTTTATATTAAGTAATGTTAAATAATACAGCAGTTTTAATAAAAGATTTATCTTTTTAAGGTTTAAAGCTGGACCCTTTTTTCTACACATGAAAAGGTCCAATTTATGCATTTCATCTGTTGAAAAAACTATATGAGGTTAAGGATAGCCAACACAAGTCATTTTAAATATGTTAATGTATGAATACAATTAATATGCTTACTAACAAGGCTTGCATGTAAAAATATATACATATAAGAAGTATTGATATTAGAACTTGTACCTAGAATTCATAATACAAACACTGGATATGAAATGGGATTGAGTAACTTCATCCAAAAAGTAGCATTATGTTTAAAAAAAATAATAAAAATTCGTTGAAACAATTGCAGAAATATTCTAGTTTTTGATATATTAGTAGTAATTCCTATATAACAGTGTATACATTTTTTTACTTTCGTTTTGAATCACTAAATTTAAGGCATTATTTAATTGTATATAATTGTTAAATATTGTTGATATTAAAAGGATCATTACATACACTTGTAAAAATGTGATTTTCACTTTTACATCAGTGATAAGTCAGATATAAGTATTCTTTTTGAAAAAAGTATTTATTGACTATAAAGATATAAATCCACACTCTTCTACATTGATTCACATCTGTTATTATTTCAGTTGCATACCAATCCTGAAAAAATAAAAATAAAATGATCATTTATTAATGATTTTTATGACTATATCTTATTAAAAAAAATGAAAATGTCATACCAAGAAAATCATCCATAAGTGTTCCAATAGCAAACTAGAACATAATAATTAATATCTATAATAGTATAACTCAGTCGTTACATTGTATCATTTTTACTTACAATTCCTGTTGCATCTACTCTTGTCCCGACAATTTTCAATCTTATTTCATCATCAGCTTGAATAACAACATCCTGAAAATGATAAATTCTATAGGTTGTCAAAATATACCAAAGTAATAAATTGCAAGACAACATGGATACCTCATCTTTCGATTTGTAGCAGGGTGGATTTACATTGGGACAAAACTGCATTTCAGCTGGAATAGACTATAGAAAACAAGTGTATTTAATATTATTTATATACTCAGCACTGAAAGAAAAATTTCAAGAGTAATAAGAAAACCGAGACATACATGATGAGATATAAAACATGACAATGGTCCAATTTCAGCAAACATTCCAACCTAGAGTGGAAATATTAATTAATATTGCATTAGTTCTTACATAAATTAAGGAAATTAAATACAATTACCTTGTTTACTTGTGTTACGACTGCATCAAGAACTTCTCCTTTGAAGGGGCGAAAAACGATAGCTTTATATTTTACAGGATAAATTACAAAACCCTGACCAGGTTGAATTATACCAGAACCAATGTTATCTATTGTTGTTACAGCTACTACAAAACCATATCTGTTAAAACAACCAAATTACAATAAAGTTCTTGACAAACAAATTCTGGAAAAGTGAATATAATATCAAAAGAAATAACAGTCCCAATCAGCTTACTTTCCAGTGCATGTGCCTTCAACTTCTGTGTACAATTTTTGTTTTACTGTATCCAATAACTGAGGCCCAAAATATCTAGGATGTAGCAAAATCTCATGTTCCAATGATATCTGTAAATATTTTTAAGAACATAAGGAGACGAATAACTTAAGTGTTTAATGATAATATAAATTTAATTACGTGATAAAACATAGTTTCTTCTAGTTAAATTTAAGGCTAGATCAGGCGCCTAGTCCGTCTGGTGACATTAAAGAGGATCAGAGAAAGTGGAAGCTGCACTGAAATATAAACAAATACATTTGAGTGAGAGACTCGTTACAGTAAACTGAAATGGTAGCCAGCGAGGTCTGCTTTTATATGTATGTATGACAATACAAATTAAGTTTGGCACTGTTTGGCACTACCTATGGACCTTTGTATTGTATCTTTTTGAATTTCGGCCTCTACTGTATGCCCAGTACCAGTGTTTTATGACCCATGGACCTGCATGGACCTAAGAATATATTCAGGGGGCCGACACTGCCATGTATTGGGGTGTAACGCTTTATGCACTACCGCCATCTTCGGTTGGAGTAAACCTTCTTCGCGAACTAAAATATTTGGCGGGCTATTCAAATTCATTTATTAAAGGAAGGGATATTTTCGGGATTTAAAAAGTACTTACAATGATCAAAACAGACGTTGCTTAGACTGACACACAAATGTAACAAAACAGTATATTAAACATAAATGAACTAACAAAAGTGTCAGTAGCGCAACGCCTGTTTTAAATCACTGTAAGAACTGAAATAATTACATTAAACATTAGTCAAAAAGTAACATATTTATTAAGATAAAAATATTAAT